GGGGTTGCGGGGGGGCAACGCGGTGTCAGCGCTCCCCGGTTCGGTCCCGGAGCCCGGGCGGGACGGACACAGCCACCGTCCCCTTTCCCGCACCCCGGCATCACCCTCACCCCGGCATCACCCCCCCTATTTGTCAGGCGGAGGTGCGGGACCCCCCTTACCCCCCCCCTCTCTGGCTGCCGCCTGTTGCAGAAGAGACCCCAAACCCTCCTCATGTCCCGCACCGTCTCCCCACCGGGGACAGTCACCCTGGGGCTGCCCGGGCAGAGCCACCCTGCCCCGGTGTGTGTCCCCCCACAACTCCCTTCTCAGGGCTCCCCGCAGCTGGGGCTGGCATGTCTGGGGCGGGGGGGCAAAGATGGGTGTCGTGGCCTCTGGCAGGTCTCCCCGGGAGCAAACAGAGCTGTGCCCAAGCTGCCCCTCCTTCCTCCTGTCCGGTTACCTCTGCACAATGGACGCAGTGTGTGCCTGCAGCTTCCTCTGCAAGAATTACAGTTGCACGGGCAGGCACTTTATCCTTCCTCAGCTCTCCTCTTCTTCCCACCTCCCCCCCCCCATCATCATCATCATCATCATCGCCCCGTTCCCCGGAGAGGTTTGTTTTCCAGCCGGCTGAGTTCAACAAGGGCAGGAGATATGGCTGGCAAACAGGCTGGCGCTGAACAAACCTTTTTTTTTTCTGAGGTGGAATCACATGGATTAGACCCAACTTTCCGCTCGCACGCGGTGCCACCTGTGAGCTCCTCGGAAATTGGGGGTGGCTGAGCTGCCACGCTTGCCCGTGAGCTAAGGCTAATTAGCCAGGTGGGTGAGGTAGCCCCTGAAGCCCCTGGCAGAGGTCTAGGAGAACCTGGTGGTGGCTCTGGGGGCATATCCAGTGCAGACTGCCGGAGCTGCTCTCCTTCAAGGAGAAGCTCCGGCTCTGGCAGGCAGCAATCTGAGAGCCGGCCGCCTGGGAGACTGCCCAAAAACACCTTGTCTTCAGCCAGAGGTGAAGCTTGATGCACAAAGTCCTTGGGGCCACTCTGAGGAGCGTAGCTAGATAGGGCGGCTCTGTCCCCGAGAGGGAGAGAAGCTTGTTTGGCAGGCGCTTCTTCTTCGTCCCTTGCTCATGGCCTCCCTCCCACCCGCTGTCTGCCCTGTCCCCCCTTTTCTGTTCACCTCCCCCCTGCAGTGAGGGAGTTTGGAGGACAGTTTGAGTAGCATCACGCTGCCTTTTTATGGTAAATATGCTGCAAGGGAGTGCTCTAGGAGGGGTGGCTTCGCGGAGCAGCAGCGGAGCCCATGAAATCAGGCAAGACTTTAATCGCCTTGGCTTGTAGTGCCCGGGGAGAGGGGGGTAGGAGATGAGAGGCTGGGTTGAGGGGCTGGTTTCTCTCTCGACCGTACCCTAAAAGCTCTCCAAGCAGCAACTTTCTGAGCACTTACTGTCAATCTGGGTGCCAAGGGCTCGTGCTTACTGGAAATCCACTGGCTGTAACTGAGGCCAAATAGTTGCTGTGCTCTGATGGCGAGAGGTGCAGGCTCAGCACTAATGGCAGGAAAAGAAGCAAACCAAAAAAAAAAAATAAAAGCAAAGGCTCCACCAGCCCATCGGTGGGTACAGTGCTGGAGTCCAGCTTGCTTGGCTGCCAATGTCTTACTCTTTGCTCAGGTCTGCGAGACCACGCCGTTTCGGGGGAGGCTGACCCCAGGCAGAGCCCTGCTGTGGGTCTGAGGTAGCTCATCCTACGAATAGGATCCCACAACATCCTGCTCACCAAATTGGAGGGGTACGGATTCCGCAGGAAAAGAAGCAAACCAAAAAAAAAAAATAAAAGCAAAGGCTCCACCAGCCCATCGGTGGGTACAGTGCTGGAGTCCAGCTTGCTTGGCTGCCAATGTCTTACTCTTTGCTCAGGTCTGCGAGACCACGCCGTTTCGGGGGAGGCTGACCCCAGGCAGAGCCCTGCTGTGGGTCTGAGGTAGCTCATCCTACGAATAGGATCCCACAACATCCTGCTCACCAAATTGGAGGGGTACGGATTCCATGGGTAGACTGTTCAGTGGATAAGGAACTGGCTGGATGGTCGCATCCAGAGGGTAGCACTCAATGGCTTGAAGTCCAGATGGAGAGCAGTGACAAGTGGTGTCCCTCAAGGGTCTGTGCTGGGACCGATACTGTTTAACATTTTTATCAATGATATAGACAGAGGCACCGTTTGCAGACGACACCAAGCTGTGTGGTGTTGTCAATACACCAGAGGGATGGGATGTCATCCCGAAGGACCTGGACAGGCTGGAGAGGTGGGCCCAGGTGAACCTCATGAGGTTCAACAAGAGCAAATGCAAGGTTCTGCACCTGGGCCGGAACAATCCTCGCCACCAATACAGACTGGGGGGTGAGGTATTGGAAAGCAGCCCTGAGGAAAGGGACTTGGGGGTGCTGGTGGACGAGAAGCTGGACATGAGCAGGCAGTGTGCAGCTGCAGCCCAGAAGGCCAATCCCATCCTGGGCTGCATCAAAAGATGCGTTGCCAGCAGGTCCAGAGAGGTGATTCTTCTGCTTTACTCTGCTCTGGTGAGACCTCACCTGGAGTATTCTGTGCAGGTCTGGAGCCCTCAATATAGGAAAGATATGGACCTGATGGAGCGGGTCCAGAGGAGGGCCACAAGGATGATCAGGAGGATGGAGCACCTCTGCTACGAGGACAGGCTGAGGGAGCTGGGGTTGTTCAGCCTGGAGAAGAGGAGGCTCTGGGGAGACCTAACAGCAGCCTTCCAGTAGCTGAGGGGGGCCTACAGGAAGGCTGGGGAGAACCTGTTTAGAAAGGCCTGCAGTGACAGGATGAGGGGCAATGGCTTTAAGCTGGAGGGGAACAGATTTATATTAGACATTAGGAATAAGCTCTTTACTGTGAGGGTGGTGGAGCACTGGAACAGGTTGCTCAGGGAGGTGGTTGAGGCCCCTTCCCTGGAACTATTCAAGGTGAGGTTCAATGAAGCCCTGGGCAACCTGGTCTAGTTGGGGGTGTCCCTGCTGACTGCGGGGAGGTCGGACTAGATGACCTTTGGAGGTCCCTTCTGGCCTGGACAATTCTATGACTCTATAAATACACACGATATGTCGACACGTGGCTGTGTCTTTGGAGGTTGGTAGTTGTGGGGGAAATGGATACACTCCCCGGCCATGTTTTCCTGCTGTCCTTCCCCTGCTGGGAGGGAAGGAGCCTGGCAGTGTGAGGTCTGGGATGTGGACCTTTACAGCTGTGGTTGGAAGGGAGCAGTCCTGGTGTGGGGTGAGGTGGCGTTTCTGGCCCTGTCTCCTTGGGGCATCCCTTCCTGCCCACACCGTGGTGTGGCCATCTATTTTCTGCACTTCTGGATGAGCTCAGCCAGTCCTTCGGGGTAGCTGGGGATAAATTGTGACCTGCTCCAAATAACCTGTAGGCAGAGGGAGTATTTTAGTCCCTGACACATGAGCCCTGCCTAGAATGGAAGGCCTGATGCACCCAGGGCATCGCACTGGAGGCCGACACCTTTCTGGAGAGCTCCAAATCTCAGTCCAAAGGAGGAGACGAGCACACCAAGCTCCGAGCATGGCACTGCTGCTGGTGGGAGCTTGCACCTCAGATCTCCGACAGCCTTCCAGGGACCTGGAAAGGCAGCAGCTGGCAGGGGATGTTGGTGGTGTAGTCCTTGAGTTCCTGGAAGTGTCGCTGGCAGGTCTATTGCTCAAAGCGGTAGTCTGAAGGGAAGGGAAACCCAGGTCGAACAAGCTTAAAGGGGCCTTTTAATGAGTGTTTTGACTTGAAGGCATTTTGTTGCTGTTCTCTGTCAGGGTGCCCCTGCCCTCCTCTTCCCAGCTTAGCTGAGACTTGGCATCTCAGGAGAGAGACTCTTTTTTGGCTTCCCAGGAGGAACAGCATGTCTGGCAATGTGTGCAGAGCCCCGCTGGGAGATAGTGACCGCCTCCTGCCTCCAGATGCCTTTTCCAGAAAGCCATTTAGAGCCCCAGGCTGTTCCTTGGATAACTCCCTTCCCTCATTCATGAGCCATGTGCAGTCCCTCCTGTAATATCCCAAATCCGCCTGTGCTAAAGGCTGAGAGGGGAGAGGCGATATCTTTTAATAACTGTGTGATGCAGCTGGAAAAAACTCTGGCCATGCAGTTCTCCAGTGGCCTGGGTTGATGGAAACGCTCCAAGGGAGAGATGCAGCTGGGCCCTGAGGGAGAGGTTTTGGGTGAGGAGGGCAACCGAGCTTGTGGTCTCTGATCTGCCCTTTCCCCTGGCCTCCTCCAAGCTCCCCTGACCCCACCTGGAGAAGGCAAGCAGACCTGGAGATGGGTCCCACGAGGTCTTGCAGGTCCCGTGTGCCGTGCTGTGTAATTAACTCCTGGTGGCTTGGGTTGTAGGCGTTGGACGTGGGCTCCACCCTGGAGATGGTGTGCGTGGCAGATTTGCTTTCCTGGTGGCGCTGGTGGCCATGCTGTGGTGGATCCCGCTGGGCAGCGCCGCCGTGCATGGAAGGCATGTGCTTGGCTCTCCCCACTCAGGATTAGCTCTCCCGAAGGTGGATTTGGTTTTCCAGCTTCAATAGGAGCTACTTGTTCTGCTGCTTCCTGTTCCAGGTGGGTACCAGGGACTTGGCTTTTACCTGGGGAACTGGTCCCTGTAAGAGCATGGCTCTGGTAGCACCAGAGGGAGGGTTGTAACTGCAAAGGGGATGTGTGCCAGGCAGATGTGGCACCCTGGTTCCCCCTTCTCCAGAATATTCCTCTTTGATGTTCCCCCTTAGACCTCTGAGGTGGGAGCTGATACATCAGGGTAAGTGGGGTGAGGATGATGGAGGGGACAGATGTCTGTTTACTGACTTGTGCCGTAGTGTCCCCTCTCACCTTGCAGTGGGATACTGTGGAAGACCCACAAAGCAGAAGTAATGTCAGGCTTTGTTGTTGGAGGAGGGTTTTGCTGAGCAGTTGTGCTGCTGTGTTTCTTCGCTGGAACTTGTGGGTTTGGCTTTTGTGAAGCTTTTCTTATCTCCGGCTGTTGTTGGGATTGCTCTTGTCTCCCTTGTTGGATATTGTGCCGTGCCAGGCTGACCTGGAGTTTGCTATGCCTAGAGGGGTGCACCGGGTGCTGTGGCAGGGCTGGTGCCCAGCACACTCACTCCTCCGTTTGGGGTTTTTAAAAGCAGGTGAGACAGACCAGAAAGATGGGATTTGTAGCTTTTACCTGCTTTGAAGGTCCTGTTCCTCCTGCATCTTGGAGCAATGATGTGTGTGGATAGAGGGGGCTTGAAATCAAAACTCCCAATTCCTTTGCCCCAGCTTTTTTGTGTGGCTCTGTGCTTCTTGGTTAGGCTTTCTCCAGGACTGCCCCGGGTATGTCGCAGGGGCTCAGGTTACTGAACATGGTTGTTAATCCCTTCATTGCCTCACAAGCTAAAGATTTGCTGCCGCTGTCATGTTTGGGAGGGGACCAGGGACCTTGCATCCCTCCCCCCAGCTCCCTATCCTGCTGAAGAGTCAGTGTGAGGACTCGTGTGTGCTGCGGGGGAGCACGGTGGCCCTGGCTTTTTCTGGGGACACGTCTGCGGTCCCCCTTGCATGGATAGGGAACGTGCTGCGGGACAGTGCAGCAATCTGGGACTAGGAACATGCTGCATGCAGATATTCTCCCATGGGCTGTCTGGGAAGCCTTGGGTGACACTGAGCTGTGCTCAGGAGAAAAGGGACAGGACCAAGGCGTGGGGTACTGCTGATTTATGACTCTCCTGGCCGTGCAGGGACCTGTCCCCAGAGCTCTTGTAGGCAGTAGCTCTTCACGTGACTGTTTGTCTTTTGGGTTTCAGGTGACGGCAAGCTCCAAATCCCTCAAGTACAGCCGGGATGTGCTCTCTGCCCTTCAAGTTGAGAATCCCCGGTTAAAGGTGGTCCTCACAGCTGCCACCAGGCCTTGCCAGCTTCTCCAGCTGTTCCCAGGTACCCCCGCAACATTGGCAGCCTCCAAAGGTCAGTTATCTTGCTTGTTAAGTAGCCGGTTTACACGTGCTCGCTCCCTTCCCATTTTAGCGTGTCTGTACCCGAATCGTTAAACTGGGGATGGCAGAAGGTCTTGGCTCTGTGGGTGTCCTCTCTACTGAGCAGGTGGATATTTGGGACCTGTGGGGAGGTTCTGGAGACAGCACTGGCGTTTATAAGCCCCTGTGGCCCAGTTCTGTGGAGGGAAAGAGCGGGTGCCTTGTACGAACCCTTGGAACAAAGTGTGGTCCCATCTCTGTGGCTGCTTTATTGAGCTTCCCTTGAGTGTGCATGTCTGGATCCTTCTCCCGAAGCGGGCAGTAGGTGACTGGGACCTGGGCTGAGGAGCTGGAACAAGCTCCCTGGGCCAGGGGAAATGTGAAGACCCCCTTTCTGAAGGCTGGGAGCTTGTGCTGGCTCTGTTGTGCCCAAGCAGCTCCTTTTCCCTCTGTCCCGTAAACCAAGTGTTTCTGTGGGGCTGCTGTTCTCAGCGGCTGCCTCTCTCTCTCCCCTGCCCCTCATTAGTGCAGGGCTTGGCATGCCAGCAGGAGGGAGCCTCAGCGTGTCTGCGCCTTGATCGGATTTGTCAAGGCTCCTTCCCTTTTCTTCCTGTTCATTGAGGGCTGAAACAAAGCAAACAGAAGAGAGGAATGTCAAAGAACGGGAGCCAGGGAAGAGAGGGGACGCTGGAGTGACAGCCTGGCCCCCCTGTACACCCCCCCGCCTCCCCGTCTAGGTCTGGTGGGGCAGAGGTTGGAGACACAGCATTTTGGGAGGCCAGGCGTGCTCCTGTCCCCACTGCTGAGGTGGCTTCCCTGGTGAGGCTGTCCCTGCTGGAGTGCCAGCAGCGAGGAGCAGAGGCTCAGGCTCTGCTGGAGGGGAAGGGGCCATTATTTGAACTGCTTTGTTTGTCAAGGACGGCGGTAGCAAGGTTTCCCTCTTTACCTGTGCCAGGAAAGTTTCCCTTACCGGGCAGCCCCGAACGAGCCTGGTGGAAAGCTGAATGTCCTGCCTGGGTGCCAGGGCCAGCCAGGCACCGTCCCCTCCCCAGCGTGGAGCCAGATAAGTGCTGGAACAAGGGTCTTTTGTGCAGACAGGTCTGGGAAGCGGAGACGAGCGCAGCCTGGCCCTCCTACCATTTCCCAGGAGGCTGGGGACTCGGGAGGGGAGTAGGGGCCAGCCAGGTGAGGCTGCCACAGGTAACGCTTCGCCCTGCCTGATGGAGCCCTTTGCTCCCTCCTCTGCCATCCCCAGGCCATATCGCAGGTTCCTCTTCATCCTTTGGATCGGGGGAGGCAATAGGATGCTCAGCAGCCCTGGCATAAAGCACTCGAGGTGAAACACATCCCCACCAGTGACACCCCTTGCATTTAAGCCACGAGGAACAGCCTTTAAGCCACGCTCTCCGTCTCCTTTCCTTCTTCCTCCTTGTTCTTCCCCTTCTGGCAATCTCTGCACTCTTGTGGTTTAATTAGAGAGCGGAGTGAAGGGCTTCGACTCCAAAATGTGCAGATTAGGGGGTTACTAATCCTCTTCCTCAACGGGTGCTCATATCCTGCCCAGTCTGTTATCGAGCTTCTGTCCCCAGAATGGAAACTCAGCCAAACTCAAGACCTCTGCCTCTCCTCTTGCTGCGCAGAGGAGGAAGGGCGAGGGGGGGACAGGAGAGCCGTAGGGGAGAAGGGAGGGGAGCGGTGGGCTTCCCAAATTCCCAAGGTGGGTTTGTAGTCAGCATCGGCCGTCTTCGCTTCTTGTGTCCTGGCTGGTTTTGGTGCTGCAGGGGCAAGAAAGCGAGGGGTTTGTGTTTAGGTTTTGGGGTGTAAGGGAGCGGTGGGCTTCCCAAATTCCCAAGGTGGGTTTGTAGTCAGCATCGGCCGTCTTCGCTTCTTGTGTCCTGGCTGGTTTTGGTGCTGCAGGGGCAAGAAAGCGAGGGGTTTGTGTTTAGGGTTTGGGGTGTTGTTTTTGGTTTTTGTTTTGTTTTTTTTTTAAGTGCTGTCTTCCTGTTCTGACACACAAAACCCTTTCTGTCAGAGGAAGCAACCGCTTCCCTGTGTGTGCGTGTGTGTTTATGTGCTGGGTGATTTTGTTCAGGTCTTTTGCCTTGCCTGTGCCTGCCTGCACAGCTCTTCCCCACGTTCCCAACACTCTCTCCTGCCTCCTGGTTCCCAGCAGATATGCCCAGGCGAGCCGTGCTGTGGCACTGCTGAGACTGGTGCTGGGTTCCCAGCAGATATGCCCAGGCGAGCCATGCTGCTGCACCACTGAGAGCACAGGGCTCCCCGCCAGGAATGGGAGGCTGGTGCCATGTGCTGGGTGATTTTGTTCAGGTCTTTTGCCTTGCCTGTGCCTGCCTGCACAGCTCTTCCCCACGTTCCCAACACTCTCTCCTGCCTCCTGGTTCCCAGCAGATATGCCCAGGCGAGCCGTGCTGTGGCACTGCTGAGACTGGTGCTGCTGGAGGTGGGTCACATCCTCATCTGCAGAGGCTGAGATCCCTTTATAGGACATATCGCCGTCAGTGTGAAGGGGAAGGCGGAGAATTTGCTGCTCCAGATGGAGGCACCGGCAGGGAAGAGGGAGCCGGGAGGCTGGGTGTGGTGGGAAGGGTAAGACTCTTCCTAGAGGCAGGAATGGAACTTGACTCTGATGATCACGGGATGGGCTGAGCTCTTATGCCTCTGTGCCACTCCTGGTGCAGGCTGGGCGCTGCACAGAGGTTGCTGTGAGTTGCAGAAGACGTGAGCTTTTTGTCCTGAGCCACTCATCTGCGGCTTGGTTGAGTTGAGGTATGCCTTTTCTTCCCTGCCTTTGTCCTCTGGTGTAGGAGTTCAGGGTTTAGCTCAGCAGCGTGAGAAGCCCCAGGGATGGGAGCAGCAGGAGGTGGGGGGAGCGCTGGGAATGGCCAGTAAGGAGTTTGGGTGTTGGGAGCATTCTCTTCTCCACCGCCTGGCTTTGGGAGCTGCCTCCCCTCTGGGATCCACTTCCCCTCCTTTTTTTTTTTTGCCCCCATCGGTCGCTACCTCATTTCCAGTTTGCAAAACACCCCGTGTGCTTTTATGGGATCCACTTCCCCTCCTTTTTTTTTTTTTGCCCCCATCAGTCGCTACCTCATTTCCAGTTTGCAAAACGCCCCGTGTGCTTTTTTGCTGGTGAGTTTGCAGTCTCTGAGCCCAGGCAGCAGCTCACCCTCCATGGTGTTGTCAGAGCCTATTTGCAGCTACAGAGCAGCCTCTCTGTAGCTCGGGTATCGCTTCAGGTCTCACAGAGTGCCCAGGGTGCCCTGAGTGGACGGTGCTATTGCTCCTCAGGCTTTTTAGAGCCTGCCCCGAGCCCTCCTGGCTTGCTATTTATAGTGCAGTTGTTCCATTCCTCTTTGGACGAGCTCTGCTTTCAGCCTTGCTGGGGCACTGAGGGCACCGGTGCCAGGAATAGCTCTGGGCAAGGAAGGCACGGGAGTGGCTGCTTCAGCACAGCTCCCAGTTTGGGCCAGTGCCTGGTGGAAGAGGCACCAGGCTGCATCCTGGCTCTCGGTGAGCGTTGGCCTCCTCTATGGCACAGCTGCTTTTCATGCAGGAGAAGTGAAGGGGTTCCCTCACCTTTGCAGGTGCCCTGTGGCCGTGCCTGGCTCCCCTGTGCTGCCGGAGCAGAGTTTGGCCACAACTGGAATATTGCGTCCAGTTCTGGGTTCCCCAGTTCAAGAGAGACAGGGAACTGCTGGAGAGAGTCCAACATGGGACAACAAAGATGACTGAGGGATTGGAGCACCTCCCTTATGAGGAAAGACTCAAAGAGCTGGGATTCTTTAGCCTGGAGAAGAGAAGGCTGAGGGGAGACCTTATTAATGCTGACAAGTATCTCAAGGGTGGGTTGAAGGAGGATGGAGCTGGACTCTTTTCAGTGGTTCCCAGTGACAGGACGAGGGGCAACGGGCACAAGCTGGAACATGGGAAGTTCCACTCCAATCTGAGGAAGAACTTCTTTGGGGTGAGCGTGGCAGAGCCCTGGAAGAGGCTGCCCAGGGAGGGTGTGGAGTCCCCTTCTCTGGAGATCTTCAAGCTCCACCTGGATGCCGTCCTGAGTGATGTGCTCTGGGCAACCCTGCTTTGGCAGAGGAGTTGGACTGGATGATCTCTAGAGCTTCCTTCCAACTCCAACAATTCCATGGCGTCCAGAAGAGTTGCTCTGGTGCTGGCTACCAGCATCCTGAGTGATGTGCTCTGGGCAACCCTGCTTTGGCAGAGGAGTTGGACTGGATGATCTCTAGAGCTTCCTTCCAACTCCAACAATTCCGTGGCATCTGGAAGAGTTGCTCCAGTGCTGGCTACCAGCGGGACTAGTGAGGGACCTTGGTGTGACATGCATGTACTGCGGAGGGCAGTTTGCACGGGCAGCCCTGCCCCTGGCGTGTCCTTCAAGCAGTGGCTGTGACCTCTTGGTTGTGTATCTTGAACCCCTGCCCGCTCGGGCGGGTGGATGCCTTTTCGGTGGGGCACCTTCGGCGGAGCTGCTCCGGCCCTTTGGCTCGTGATGCTGGCAGCTTGTCTGGAGAGCAGAGCTGAACAAGTAATTAATTGCTTGATTTAGTGCCCAAACTGAAAAACCCCAACACAGCCGAGTTTGAGACACCCTTTATCTTTCCTTTTAAATGTTAACGCAGCTCAGTTTCAAACAAAACAGTGCAAAATGAGACTTTTTGCTTGGAAAACAAAGCGGTTTGTTCTTGTCCAAAACTTGTCATGAGGTAGGAAATAGCTCTGAGCTGTCTGGAAACTGCAGTTTTCAATCAATAACTATTCAGCTGAAAAACACTTGCCCAGCTCTGCTGGTGACAATGCACGGCAGGCACCTGGGGACCTGGCTGAGAGCCATGCCCCTGGCACCTTCCCAGAGGTGGTGAGGAGGTTGGTGTCGTGCCTCTTGAGGACTTTTCCGGGCAGAGCGCCGGTCCAGGGTTGTTGGAGTCCCATTGCCTCCTTTTTTTTTTTTTTTTT